CTCATATCCTACCATAGATCGTACATTACGTAAATGTTACGCATGCTAGTAACATGACACATGTTCTTCATGTAGATGAATGAATTGCAGAGCCAACATTCCCCCGAAGCAACTGATGATATGTGGTCATTAGCCAATGGTCCTAGTGGCTTAGTGAACACATATTCAGGATGTATTTGTAATGGTGTCCGTTATCATACTATCGACTGTGACAACCGTCGGAAAAGTCAGAATAGTGGATTAGTCGTGGAAGGGGAGCATGAAGGGCAATTGATACACTTCTATGGACACTTGTGCAGAGTGTGGGAACTAAACTATTTGTTCAGACGTCGGATTGTATTGTTCCAATGTGAATGGTTTAACACCGGTAGTAGTAGAACTATGCGTGTAGAATCACATTTCACAACAGTTGATGTAACAAGTCGATGGTACAAAGATGACTCATTTGTATTACCAAGTCAGGTTGAACAAGTATTCTATGTTAATGATACCAAATTAGGTACCAATTGGAGAGTCGTAGAAAAGTTCCAACATCGAGGAATTTGGGATGTGCCAGAGATGGATGTCGTACAACCTGATGATGTGTTCCAACAAGAAGAAACCACCGAGGTCGTACCTGTTATGGCTATTGATGATGATGTGGTTTTGCGTCGACATGATATTGAATCTGAAATTATTCCAATGGAAGTGTTGCAATTTGTCAGACGTGTAGAAGCCAAGGGTGATACAGATGCTGGCTTCATCTGTGATGATGAAGATGGATTAATGAGGGAGGGTGACGACACAGACGAAGAATATGACCTACAAAGTGATTTTGATACAGATGTTGATGTAGAATCTTGATGTATATCATGCTTTAGTGCATGTCATAATTAGAGCATTGTGAAAGTTCAATTGGTGCACAAATGCAAAGGAAACTCATTTTATAGTGAAGGGGGATCTATCTTTGTAAATGTCAATATGTTGTGATATAAAACACTATCATGAATGCGTTTTTTTGGTATTATTTTGGAACAATTGGTGCTCGTCAAACTTCTATTATTATGAAAATTCTATAGTTATAATAAGAAAATCTGGAAATCTGAAAATTCTGAAAATCTGAGATCTGGAAATCTAGAAATCACTTTGGTCTGCAAATTCTGGAAATCTGAAATCTGGATAATGTGGGAATCTGAAAATGTAGAAAATTCTATGAAAATACTATATTTATAATAAGAAAATCTGGTGCTCGTCAAATAATTTGGTTTTTGTCCAAATCTGGAAATCACCTTAGTCTGTATCTGCGAATCTGAAAATCTGGAAATCACGCTCAAATCTGGAAATCTGAAATATGTGGAAATTAGAAAATTCTGAAAATTCTATGAAATTTCTATAGTTATAATAACAAAATCATCAGCTTTCAAACCATATTTGTTAGGCTGACAGTGCTGACAGTGCAGTTGCAGGCTGACAGTGCAATTGCAGGTTTTATTTTCTTACGAACATTTACTCGTGTCTGTATCCATGTTTCTGCTTGTGTGCGTTGTACGAACAATTGTGCTGCCGTGTAAGGTTGGTGTGGCTGATTTGGGACCACCACACATTTTCGTTCGTACAATGCAGTAAAAAAATCTTCTAATATTGACAGACACACCATCACACATCTCCCTGAGTGCATTTTGTTATCATAATACCGAAAGAAGGAAGAAAGCAATAGTAATTTTTTGTGCTGTTTTGTTTTTTTTGGACATAATTGCATATCAGTGAGACAAAATGTCTAAAAAAAATTTAAATTACACTAGACTTAGTTTGATACAAGTCTAATACACAAAAACGGAAACAAAAAGATTTATATCAAATGCATGACAAACTTGTTTTTCATAAAAATAAATTACAAATTAAAATTTTACTATAACCTTGATTTGAGATTTTTTCAAAAAAAATTACCAAGATTTACCAAAATTTACTTACTAAAGGACTTGATGCTTTATAAATGTGAGATTGATTCTAACAAACAGAGACACATTCTATAATATAAAATTTTAATTATTATAGTATTGAAGTGATCAATATCATTGGTGTTGAATGTTAATATTTTTAAAAATACCATAGATAGATAGCGAAATGTAGTGAAATGAATTTATGCCAAAAATATTCTAGTATATGGTGATTTGTGGGTGAATATTATAAAGTTTAACCTTATTTCTGGCTTAGAAGGCCAATTAGATTGGTTTAACAACTGCTTTTAAGTTAACTTTGTGCTCTTTCTTTTTTTTCTTTTTTGTTGTTGTCGTCGTCTTTTTGCCTATTTTCAAAGAAACGCACAAATAACATTCACACTTTATTTGTTAATGGGCGGAGAAATAGTTGAACTGCACTAGAATGAGTAGATGACAATGGTAATATCAATATCAATGAGCTTTCTTATGACGTGTAATCACAAACCCGTTAGTCTTTGTTAGCCCGAATGATCAATCAGGAACACTCCAATACTTAAGTTAATATCGCAAGCTACTCTCTCAATATATAGTGTAAGTTTCAGCTTGTGTGATACTGTACCTCTACTTGGACTTAAGTGATTCCTTTGTATTTTTTGATTTTATCATTAAGAGTATTATATAATGACTTGTTCATATTACTCTATTCTAGGCATAATTGTGTTTCATGTGACGATTTTTCCTGAAGTGATAAATATTAGCTCACTAATCATTGACTTATCACTAACTTGGTTCACCTTTCACTTATCACTAACTTGGTTCACCTTACACTTGACCAAACAATTATTTAAACGTTGAGTACATATCTAGCTCAATTGTCTCTCCTCTAACTTAACCAAGCAGCATGGTTGTATAAAATTAGCTCCTACACTAACATTCCATAATTTTCTTTCTCTCTCTCTCTTTTAATCTTTTAACCTCTTACATGTCATTTGTAGGAAGACATGAGGGGCTAATGTGAATGAATAGAGGAACATTTTGGGCAAAACCAATGATGCAAAGCCACAAGTAAGCATATTATTTGAGGCTCAAGAAGCAGGTGGGGGACCATATGTCCACCACAATTTGTACACTTCCATGTTAGTTGCTAGGGAAACATAGAAAAAGGTTAGAAACTTTTGCCTAAAGAACTCCACTTCTTCATCTTTCTGCACACCCCAAATTCACACCAAATAAGTAGGTTATCAACCAAATCCATGAAACAATAGCTAAAACACAACATATGATGCAGAATTGAAAAATATATACCAGTTCCTTAAACAATGGCTCTGGTATTCCAATTTTGTGACCAGCAGGTAGAAACCCACAGCGTCTCTTTGCCCTTTCAATATCTCCATTTTCATCAGAACCAGAACTTGTATTTCAGGAGGCAAATTGAGCTGCTTAAATACCTGTATTGGCATTCGAGGCAAAAGCATATAGGCATTGATGAAAATAACATATCCCACAAATTCCAAAAATGTTATATAGAGCCACAGGCAGTGAATACCTCAATGGAAAAGGATGGCACAAATGGTTCTAACAGACATGCAAGAAGATATACTAGTCCAGCTGAAGTCTTCATAACTAGCCAAACCATGCATTGTAATTAAAGGTCAAACCATGCAATCTTCAATCCTTGCTTTAGTTTAATCACCAATTTTTTTTGTCTAATTTTGAACAAAAGCTAGTTTTAGGAAAAAATTTAAAACATGAAGTGCCAAAGTGAGGGAAAAAAACGTTAAGGGTCAAAGTGGGAAAATGGCCAAACATAAAGGGGGCAAAGTGTAATTCACCCATGTTTTTACATAGGTATGCATTTTGTGTGTATGTATTTATGTATGATCATCTTTGTGTTTGTTTGTTTGTGTAAAAGAAATTTATTGCTTTTGTCAGTTTGAATTGGGGATGCTTTTATTTGTGAATTTTACTTAGGCCTTATTTTGTGTATCATAAAGCATATCCAGTGTAAAAAATTCTGGGTAACAATTAGGAAGTCTTGTTGTACAATAATAACTCCCATCAGAAAACATGGTAATGACATAGTACCGGCTTCCTTTTCTTTTTCAAAATGTCTTTTTAGACAACTTGCTAGCAGATTTTGGGGGTGTCTTTATTTGAATTTGGTTGTTGTCTCACATGCAACTGTGCAAGGATGATGTCTTGTGAGTTTTGCCATCCTTTATGTACATTAAAATTAGGTACAATGACAGTGATAAGTGGGTATCAATATCATATTCCGATGATGAGGACTATATGGTTAAGCTAGTGGGAGAAGGGGGGGGATGTCCATCTAATCCCATTTGTGGTTTTGTAATTTTTTTTTTCTTATTTTTTTGGAAATACATCAGTGCGTTAGTAGTCACCTCCACAGATGAGGAGGCCAAGCAGGCATCTGACCACTTGGGCTGGGGCACTTCTTGTTTTCTATTGGTTGGTGACACCGCGTACAATGGAAATCATTTAGAAAGTGTGTTCTCTTGGGGTAATTAGAAATGAATACATAAAGTAGTTTCTTAAGATGTGGGCTGTTGTGTGCTAAGCTGACACTTGATTTGTTTGAGAATCTCTCTTTGGATGCAAATGTTAATTAGAGGGGCTTGCTATGTTTGGCTAATTTTGTAACCTCTTTTGCCTTCTATCTGTAATCAACATTTTGTGTGCAAATCCCTCATGCATTTTGGTTTCTTCCAGTGCAATATGATAAACTGTGTTATTCATCAATGCGTGCACAAGAAAAGATGCTGAACTGGTGGTTACTGGTTAGACAAACTGTTTGGCAACTTGTTTGGACCAACACCAAGTCCAAAAGCAGGCTAAAATGTTTGCTCCTCTGTGTGGAATTAGCCATTTGAATGGCTAACATTTTTGGAGTGTTAATGATTTCTGTCATTACAGGGATCCAAGAATGTCAACAGGTGGCTAAAATGAATGATAAATTGTCTTCATTTTTAAACATATGGATAAGTAATCCACACTTGTCCACAGCTATTGCAAGTGGATTTCTTACAATATTTTAAGGTTTTATATTATGTTTTTGACTTCCCACATTTTACACAAGTACCAAATTTGGTGTGAATGATATCTTAATGAAAGACGTTATTTCTAATGCCAGGATCCTATTAGAAGCGCAATAATCGACTCATGTATACGGGTGACTGACAATGGGAGAGAAATCATTCAAAGAAAAGTATGAATGTTAAATCATTTAACTATGGCGCGTCAATAAGTTTTCTTTTTTTCTCTTCTTATGGACTGTTATGACCCTCTGCTATGTAACTTTCAGGTATTCTTCATTTTCACACTTTACAATACTTCTAATCACAATGATCAACTAAAGGTGGGGTAAATACCTTGTCAGATATTGTGCTGCTTCTCAATACAATAAACAACCAAGACGTTTAATTTGTGAATTCTAAATTTTCCTAGTTGGGAGCAAGCAGTCCAGAAGAAGCCGCACTTCATGTTCATAACTTTCAGGAGGCAGCTTTAAAGGTTTCAAGTGCTCGTTTGTTAATATGGTGCAGAATTGCAATGCTGAAGAGACTAACTAATGATTATGTGCATATGCAGGTGTAGACGTCCCCCGAACGCCCCGGGGAGGATGAGTCCCCGTTCTGTTCATTTGGGGTCACTACAGCTCAGGACTCTCAAGTTGTCACGGTTCTAAGTCTGAACCAAAGAGTCCAAATCCGGCAAATCATTTTGAGAAAATAGATTTTTGAAAGAAAGAGCCCTAATGTTACCACAAAATGCTAACACCCTAATGATTTATGTTTTGGAGCACACATTTCGAAACTTGTGTTCCCAAATAGTGAATTTAGCGCTCCAGAGTGTTCCCCTAATTTTTCAGTGTTTTTTTTTTTTTTTTTTAAGTTATCCTTAAAAGGGTAAAATTCAATTATAATGAACTAAAATCTAGATGAAGTAGAGTTTTGGATTGACAAATGTAAAACAATAGGTCGTAATGCTCATAGTAGTAGTAGTTTATTTATTAATTATACTAAGCAATATATGACAGAGTTATACATCTTTCATCCATGTATGTAGACTACATTTAAGCACATTTACCATGGAACAAAGCTTCTGAAAGCACCCATTATCTTTTGAATGTTCAATGGAATTATGCAAAAGCATTCCTCATTGAATGACGAGATCTTCAATTTATTTATATTTTCTCTCACTCAATTTGCATGTAAATTAGTGAAGCCCTTGAAAAATACTCTTCAACAGCAGCAAACATATCAGCTTCAACAGATCAGCAAACAGTTCAAGGTCGGTTAACTTATTCCTTCTGTCCCATATTCACAAAAGAGTTAGATGCCCTGATGTGATCCATTCCTTATTCTTGTAGCTTGAAAGTGCAATAATCAAGCATTATTTGGGTGATACATCTTTCATCCATGTATGTAGGCTACATTTAAGCACATTTACCATGGAACAAAGCTTCTGAAAGCACCCATCATCTTTTGAATGTTCAATGGAATTATGCAAAAGCATTCCTCATTGAATGACGAGATCTTCAATTTATTTATTTATTTATATTTTCTCTCACTCAAGCATTATTTGGGTGTACTTTTTTTCTGTGACGAAGTTTTATTTATTTTTATTGTTTTTGTGTAATTTAGTTCATGTATATCATGCTAAATCGTGTACTTAAGCATGTATTACTTAAGATAGTTCATGCTATAAAAAATTATTTTTGTCTAATTTATTTTAAAGCACGCATATCATGCTTTATAGTGTTACTTGTGGTATTGCAGATTGGAAAATGGTTCCTGGATTAAAGACTGGTCGACTTCGGAAGAAGACACTCACGTAGCCAGAAACAGATTCGCCAGCTGCTATTCCTTTAGGATCACCCGTTGCTCCATCTCCTGTTCTTCCCGTCCGATCAAATGTAGGACCATCTCATCATGTCACTAGCCAACCAATGGTTGATTCTGATGAGACACAAGCCCCATCCGAAACGCAGCCGAGTGGCGTAGGTAAGAATAAAGTGTATAAAATTTGTCAATTACCACATGCCATTGCCATTGTTTTTTTGTAGCCAAATTTTAGGCAATTTTCATGATGTTATGTTGTTAACAGGGACTTCGAAGCCCCTACGTGTACGTGGACCGACACTTGGCAAGGGCATACAAAAAATAATTAGAGCCAAAAAAGGGGAAAAATGTTATGTTCACATCGATCGTGGGTTGAATGCAATGACTGGCAAGTATGCCACTCCAGCAACTAACGAGTTAGGAATTCAAATTAGAACCTTGTGCCCTTTGAAAGATGTGAAGTCATGGCTGGATCTTGATGAGACTACAAAAGCTGCCGTCATCCAAGCTGTTCTTGTAAGTAATATTACTTGTCCACAAGATGTAATTGTATTATGTATGCTAATAAGAAAGACTATTATTTAATGATTACAATTTCAATTTGTTATGCTTGTAGGACAAGTTTCAAATTGGAGACGATTTCCACAATGACTTACAAGCACAAGAGATTGTGAATAAGAAGGCCTATGGGTTGTACAAAGATTGGAGGTACACCTTGAAGCAAGAGTTCGAATTGTTAGAAGGACTTCCACGTGATGAGATCTATGGTCATCCGCCCGTAGGGGTGAGTTTAGATAATTGGAAGCATTTGATCGATGTGGCATGGCAAGATGCATCTCACCAGGTAAAATAATAGACTAGATAGAGTACATACATCTATGTGAAAATGTGATATGCCTTAATATTGACAAAAAAATTGTTTATCTGCTTGACTTATTTTTAGAAACGGTCAAAAGCTGGCAAGAGTAATAGGAGTCAATTGCCGTACAATCATACCAATGGGTCTCGCTCATTTCCTATCGCAATGGCTGCTATGGTGAGTTCAATTTTTTTTAAACTTGAATCCATTATATGTTGTTTGGATATGAAAAATGTTATGTTCTCCTACACACACACACACACACACA